GTCTTTTACGACATGCCTGACAGGGGCTGTGCTGATTTGGGCATAAGCTAGCTAACCTAAACCTTAAGGACTCACAGTCGGTAGGGGCTTCAAAAATTATTAAAAAATTTTTTTAGTTCAGAAAAGCAATTTTCTTTTTATATATCCTTCAAGAACATGTAATTTTTTTCTGTGATTGTGCAGCAACATTTTTTATTATTTGTTTAACTATTTGTTTAAATATAAAGTGATGGCATTAAGAACAGCCTTACAGAAATAGTGCTTTTGACAGAGCTAAACTAATGACCGAATGTTTCATCCCCCCCCCCCCTTATATTTTCCCGTCACTTTGCTGTAGTACAAGGTGGAAAAGTAGAAGAATAAGAAGACCCATATATTTAAATATTGTATACATTTTAAAGTTCCTTGAGACTTGGCTGGTGTAATCTAAAACGACTGACTGACTGACTGACTTCTACCCGACCAGGACATCACACAAGCGATAAACACCCGATGACACAATGTGCCACCATGTGGGTGAGGATCACCGTGGAGAGGTCCCAGAAACCGCGTTCAGCCATTAGACCATATTTATGGCCAGGCTATATTGCAGCCTCTGGCAACAGCCAGAGCAGGGCTTCAAATAATTAAAAATGTCATCCTGCAAAGGACAGAAAGGTAATATTATCATTAAAACAATGGAGGCCGCGATTCTTTTTATAGCTTAAACCAGCGGTTCTCTCGCCATTGTCAAAAAGTATTTTTTGTTTTGTTTCATACACATACATGTTTTATAGTGCACAAAATGGCAACCGCAACGTATTAAGAATTGTTCTTGAATTTATCTCGATGTGAAACCGATCCTCTTCTTGCATTCGTTAAGGCGCAGTCAAGTCTAAACAGTTTAATTCATCGCAAATCCGACGGTTCAGTGTCAAGAGGCAAAAGAAGTGCATGGGGCTTCTTAGCAAAAGTTAATGGTCGACGTTTGGTGCAAGAGAGCCTTGCATATGATACCACAACATCCAGTTTAAGAATGGAGGTGGAGACAGTCACTGCAGCTTTCTATTGGTTAGAGAACACAACACACACACACACACTCACACACACACACACACACTCACACACACACACTCACACACACACACACACACACACACACACACACACACACACACACACACACACACACATCCGGTAGGAGCTTAAAAAAATATTACTATTTTTTTTTTTAGTTCAGAAAAGCAATTTTCTTTTTATATATCCTTTAAGAACATGTAAGATACACACACACACACACACACACACACACACACACACACACACCCCGCCCACCCACCCACACACACACACAACCACCCACCCACGCACGCACGCGCGCACACACACACACATCGTGATCGTAACTGACTCAGAAAGCATGCTGAGGAAGATCACGACAGGCATGCTTCGTGCAGTGGCATGCCTCTCTGCGGAGGACACGGGTAAGGAGTATTGTCCGGATTTTTTCACCGGTGTGTTGGGAAATGAACAGATAGGCATATAGGCTGGCTCTGCACAACTTGGGGGAGTACCGATGCATGAAAAGGCAGACGTGGTTACTGCATTGTGGGAGAGCGTGTACAGAGCAGATGGATCACCACAGTCTGGTGAGAATAATGCAGGGGTGAGGGTGTCGAGAGGTTCCTGCAGATGCTCGAGGCTCAGAGGAAAGGCTTAATCAGAATGCTACTCGCACCATTAGTATCGGAACTCTTCGCTGGCTGCTGAAGATGGGGACGGAGCGCTTGTGGGAATGCCCCGAGTGCTATGATGTCGGTTTTTGAATCAAATCAATCGAAACAAATCCTGTATCGCATTTAAGACAAATGAATATCAAACTTACACTTTTTTTGTGTGCTCCTAAGTATTTAAACAGCTTTAAGCGTATTTGTGCCGCGAATTTTTTTATTTTTTTTACCCGATTAGGGTAAAAGTAAGAAAAAAGTAAAGATCCTTTTCTTACACCCTATGCGCATCGGGCATATGGGAAGAGCATCCAGTATTTTTACAAACCCATCGGTACTAGGTGGGTAATGTGGTCAGCATTACGCCGGACGTCTTTAATCTCCCCAGGACAGCTTTCCTGGTAACCATTTTAGGCTGGGTCGACCTGCGACGCCCCATACCATGATAAAAATCCACGCAGCCAGCAGTGGGTTCTGATAGCGGTACATTGGGAATTCCGAATCGGACTCGCAACACCTAAGCCGCGGACAAGGGTGTCTCGACGAAAAAATTTTGAGAACCACTGACTTCGACCCTATCCAACTCTTAACCCCGCCCTGGTTAGGGTGAATTGTTATTATTCTTTGTTTTCTCTAAGGGCCCCGATTGTACAACAGACGAAGCATACAAGTACCTGGTGATTATTCAAAATCCTCGGCGAAGGCAGCTCGTCCAGGTCTTGGATGTACTTGTGGAACTCCATCATGCATGTTTCCTTCTCCACATTTCCTGTAACTGCTAACCCAGATACCATTTGTCGCAGGATTTCCCAGAACCAGTGACAGCCGGTTTTCGTGTAGGAGCACAGGATAATGTCGTCATCCCTAAGTGGGTAATCCTGAAATCAAGGATACATTATTCACTTATTTCTTGTTTTTCTTTTTCTTCTTTTTCTTTTTCTTCTTCTTTTTCCTCTGCTTCTGCTTTTTCTTCTTCTTCTTCTTCTTCTTCTTCTTCTTCTTCTTCTTCTTCTTCTTCTTCTTCTTCTTCTTCTTCTTCTTCTTCTTCTTCTTCTTCTTCTTTTTCTTTTCTTCTTCTTCTTCTTCTTCTTCTTCTGCTGCTGCTGCTGCTGCTGCTGCTTCTGCTTTTCCTCTTTCCTCTTCTTCTTCTCTTCTTCTTTTTCCTTTGTTTTTCCTTTCTCTTTTAAATCTTTCTTTTTTTTGCCTGCCAGTTCTTCTCCATTACCTCCCCTTTCTCTCCTACTTTCATTGCTACTACTACACACAATGTAAATGCCTTTTTTTAAGCTAGTGAGAGATCATATTTTTATAGGGCAATCGGCACTGTATGGGTGATAAGGTCAACAACACACCGACCGCTTTTACTTTCCAATTCATTGGCTGTAGCCACGTTGGGCTACGTCGACCTTGCAGCCAATGTCATATTTAAAAAAATCCGACTCGGTACAGTTTCAAACCCAGACCTTCGACTCGGCAGTCGAGCTTCTAACCGCTAGGTCACTGGGGGTCTAGAAATGAAATATAGGATGTGTTCTAGAAGTCCCTATACTTCTTCTTCTTCTTCTTCTTCTTTTTCTTCTTCTTCTCCTCTTCTTCTTCTTCTTTTTCTTCTTCTTCATCATTTTCTTCTTCTTCTTCTTCTTCTTCTTCTTCTTCTTCTTCTTCTTCTTCTTCTTCTTCTTTTTCTTCTTGTTCTTCTACTTCTTATTCTTCTTTTTCTTCTTCTTCTCATTATTATTATTCTTCGATCCTTCTGTCAAAAAACCTATATCATGTGGCCGATAGCCTTTATAAAAGATTTCTTGCAGTCCATATCTTCTCGTGTACCATCCAGTTTTGTCCTTATTGTGGTTGGAGGAGGCCAGACTGCGTCTCTGTTGTCAGCATCACTTGACAGTGTTGGAGCATTTGCGGGTGCCACGCTGCAGAGACACGTCTCCGTGTTTCCTAAACCAAAAAGTTTGAGCATATGTTGACGAAGTCTGTTGTGCCCTGTCTTTAGTCTGAATATAGTCCCTCTAGAAAAGCCTAATATTATTTTAACAATACAGTCAGTTTTCAAATAATTACGTACCGTATCATGAGAGTCATACAGTTAAAAATATTCGTCACTGTGGAAGGAATTATGGGAAAACGTATATACATTCAACCATGGCGGACTGGGAACAAATAATTGCAGAAGGCATGGTTTCAGAAAGGAGGAGCAGGGGTCGATCAACACAAAGATGGACACAGGATATAAGTGACTCCTTGAATGTGAAAGTACACGAGGTTGGAGAGTTGGCGAGGTACAGAGTTTCTTTCGGGCAGACTGTGATGATGAGAGCGATGTTCTGCAAAGGACCTGCCTAAGACCATAGACAAACTCATATTCGCCGAGGTTATGAAGTAGGACAGAAAATAATGGCATGGTTGGGAGTCACCACAACACAAGGAACTGTATTAAAGGGTCGCGCCATTAGAAAAGTTGAGAACTGCTGCAGTAGTATGTTGTGCCATGACCCTCCTTCACCGCCTCTCGCTGCAGGCGATCCTTCAGAGTGACACGTCACCTACCGTTGATGGTTGACAATTCCTTGTGGGTAGAAATATGGCTTTGAGTACACTGTTCGAACTGAGAGAATGGGCGGGATGCTTGTACGGGCCAGTTTGGATGTCCGGTTACTGCTCTGAGAACCTCGATTTACTTTCTGCCAGCAGGGAACCGAACCAGCGTAATGAGAACAGTTATATTGCAACCCGTTTGTAAAAGGCATGATAAAAGCAATTTTAAAAATTCCAAAATAAATTAATTTGTAAATTAATAAACAAACCAACCGGCATTGTCTCTATCATCTCGTGGTTAAAACGAGATGCCGAGAAGAAGTGGGGGTTCTTCTCTTGTACATACAGCTTCATTGTGTTGCCTGTGGAATCTTCTACAGCCTGTATACCACCCATGTATCTGTAAAAGGGAGACTAGACGTCAGGTGAATCTCAAACATTAAAGGCTCTACGGAAATGCATATCTTTCTTTCTTTTCTTAAATGTAACTTTTTTTAAATGGTATTTGAGGGCGAGAGGCTCGGCTTCACTGATTCGCCTTTCCGATATGCCCCGATCGTCCTCGGGTGACCAGCAAGTGTGTTGTACAAGGCGGATTTGGAATTAAAACAATATGAAGTAAGGAAATGAAATATCTCAGAATGAGATGCAGAAATCACGCAAGAGCTACCTTGTGCATCTCACAACGAAGAATTAGATTAGCAACATGCTCCTATTGTTTACATGACAGGGAATATGTACTGCAGGAAGAAGTACTGCAGCGCAAAACGCCGACTCTTCGTGAGTATCGTATTACTGATTTTTTTTTTTTTTTTTGGCACTCGTTGGCCACTGGTGGATCTGCATGAAACATTCAAACTGAAGAACACATGACGCCCCTAAAATGTAGGAATGTCCTGGGGAATCATGCAGCAGAGATGAAGTGACTTTCGTGTTTCGTACACAGCTAAACAAAAATTTTTTAATGGAAGCTGTAAGGTTTGAGGTTTGAACAATGGATCAACATCATGGCACACGGGTAGTAACACATAAGTGCTCCGTTCTATTTCTAACTTAAGCCTAAGTCCGAAGAAGCTCAGCACACTGCACAGGCTCTGTAGCGTCGGTGGGGATCCTGAAATACTTGGGTAGATTTTTAACTTCAAATTTTGCCGGGCGGCGCCGTTAGGCTACTCTTTTCGACTTCCAACTGCCAAGGGATGTTTTACGTGCGCAACAATACACACGGGCGTCCGATTTCACTACTCAGAGACAATGGGGAATTACTAGAAGTCCAAGTCCACGTGAAAAAATCTCAGCCCCCACTGGGGATTTAACCCAGAACCTCTAGCACTCGAGGGGGACACCATGCCTCGAGACCACGCACCCCCCCCCCCCCCCGAAGGTATAAAAATATTGGAATTCAAACGTGTTGCCTCAGTAAGACAACGGGAATTCGTTGAAACAATGAAAATATGTTCTACACACGGAAACATTAAACTTTAAAAAAATCTTTTTAGGAAATAAATTCCTTTTAATTGCCTAAATAAAACAGAAATGTGAGGTTAGTTTAATTTTAATCTCTAGTATAAAGACACTCTAAGGCAATCATCAATCATGGAAAGTAAAATCCATAGCAACGCTGGCAGACATCGACTAAAAAAAAAACACAGGCGCCTCGTAAAGAAGTCTTAATTAAATAACTCAAAATCACTCTCAAGACCGATAATGGTGACCGCTGTTACTATATTATTTTCAGCAACGGTACATACCTGGACTAAATGTGCAGTTAAATCAAAAAAACACAGATGAAGGTTTCAAAGGGCAGTGTTATAACTACCTCCAACAGAAAGTAAATAATACACATTGATCAACATTCGCAGGGAGTTACACACATTAACATATAAAGGCAGGTACAGAATTTGGGACAAAGTATTTCTTCTGTGCTTAGTGTAAATTTGATTTTCTTTCTTCGCTGTCCATATTCACCATGTTTTATGAATAAGTAGGTTGTTTGCTCCGGAACCCCTGAGAAAAATTAAAAAAGGGAATTAGAGCCTGCTGTTAAAAAGATGCTAAGGACTTGGTCTTCGCTGCACGCAACAGTTAAGGATTGAACGAATTTGCGATAGTTAGTTGACAGTCTATGCTCCACTGAGGCAATAAGGACAGAAGACAGCATGGTACAATTCTTTGAAATTCCGCCCCTAAGTGTTGAAATTGTATTTTGATTTCGCTGCTTATGCCGGCTCCTTACGGTGCCACCTGATGTGACCGCTTCTTAGTATCATAGCGCGACACGGACCCGAATAGCATTAACAATTGGGCTACAAATCGGTTAAAAAAAAGTAAAAGTAAAGATTCCTTTTGACGCCTCTAAGTGTATCATGCATATGGGAAAAGCGAACATATTTTTACAGACCATCGGTTCTAGGTGAGTAATGTGGTCTGCAGTACGCCGGCCGTCTTTACTTGCCCAGGACATACATCCTGCTACCCAGTCTAGACTGTGTGGAACTGCGACGCCCCATACCATGATAAAAAATCCACGCAGCCAGCGGTGGGTTTCTATCGCGGTACGTTGGAATTACGAGTCGGACTCGCAACGCCTAAGAGATAGGTTATGAATACACACATTTATTGAGGTCAAGCAGACGCAATACGGAAACAAACGGGCTTTGGGTAACAGAACCATTTACCTATTTATATTTTTGTTAGGTTAGTTGCGTATCCTTTACTGCAGAACCAACTCTAACAGTCCCTGGCTGTTGTGTGGTTTTCTAGGCAAATTTACGTCCAGTAGTTTGCCATTGCCTCTGGACGGTCGGCTTTCTTGATACCACTGGCGAAACCAACGCAAGGCGCGTGGCCTGCAGCTGTGATCGAACCCGGCATCCCGGCATTACGAAGCGTTAACATCGACTTAGCCACAGAGCCGACTATCTATTTAGGTAGGTGAGATTAATGAACTGCTGTGAAGCTGTAAAACCTATTTAGGTAGCAATCTTGAAGGTCAAAGAAATACAAAGACATTATGACAGCATTCACACTGTAGCAGGAGATTTAAAAAGCCTGTTCAAGATATGCAACTATAAATTTTATTCTTTTAGAACCAAGCTAAGTACTTTAATTTCTACAATTATTTCATTTTCAACATATGCCAGTAAAAATTGGAGAATCACTAAAGACATGAAACGAAAGCTAACTGTATTCGAAAACAAATGCCTGAGGAAAATAATTTAAGAAAAAGAATGACGAAATGATAAAAAAA